TACAATAAAAATTATGACCGATGTCTCCCTAATGTTAAAAAATTTACCACAAAATGTCTCCCAAGTGACCTATTTGGAAATATTTTGTTTACAGAATGCAAAAAAAAAAAATTATTACTTCATATTCATAGCCCACTCGATGGATTCATATTAAGAGGTCAGTGCTGAGCCATACCACCGTTGTGTCATTTACTTTGCTAAACGAAGGCGGTGTATGATTTTTGTCACGACCACTGTTGTTGCCGTGTGCGTTACCCGCTTATTTTGCTGAAGTGTGCGTATTACACAACACTTCAAGAAAAAAGGTGCAGGCAGTCTAATGTTAATGATACCCACTCTTTTTCAGACGAGGTTAACTGGTGGAATATGTGGGTACGATTGTGACAATATTGATGCACAAAGATGTCCCGAATGTTGTGTAACATTTTGATGCCAGAGTTAGCTTCAACCCGCAGTCTCGGATATCTTGACTTTCAGCCACTCGAAATCATGGCGACAAAGAAAGCGCACCGTAGAAGCGTCAAGTTCACTTTTGGGACGGAGGCAGCGCAGCCGACACCACTCGGTATCTTTAAACAGCATTCCTTTCGACTGGCCTGTACTGAATTCCCCCGGACATGGCGTCAAGACCTCGCAAATTTTGTGTAGTGGCAGGGTATAGATTGGGCACAGTTAATGTAATTAACCTTAGTAGAAACAGGCCAGACGACAATTTTGCTTTTAGCTCAATTTAAGCAAGTATTGGTAGACAAGGTAAGAGACCAGGGAACAGCACTCTGGTAATGTTGCTTTTTGTCGGGAAAGAAAGGGCATAGGTGTAAGTGTGACAAAACCCTGCGTGAAGTCGTCTAGGCTGTTTAAAGTTAAGAGCCACCTTCAAAAATGGCTGAGGGCAAGTGGCAATGGGCTATAGCATTGTGGAAACTTCATTCCACACCTAAATTTGGTACGTAACGCCCTAATTTCCTTATATGGACTTAAGTTACACATTCGATTTGTCACTAAACAATTTAAATTTTTGTCTCCGTGGCAGAAGAGCAAGTAAATAGTTTTCCGTCTTACTAATTATTAAAACTGTTTAAAAAAACAACAACAAACATAAAAAAAAAAAAACAAAAAGATTGGAAGCATCGCAAAACGAGTCCGTTACACAAACCTCACACAAAAAGACACTCCGTCGGGTAACGTTTCATTGACGCCGTCTTATTTCTCAATTTTCCTTAACGCTATTTTTGGCAAAACCGACCGCTTATTGCGAATAAGAAACTATACAGGCGAATGAAAACGGTTGCATTGAAAGACAGGTTCACTTGAAAAAAAAATGATCATTATGACCAATTGAGACTCAATGCTCACACGTGTACAGATCCGTTTTTCGTTTCGGGCTATCTGTCAATGATAGGTGTCTCATCATCCGCTTCCCATTGTCGATCCCAACAGAAGTCGCAGCGAGTCAGTGTGAGCCTCATTTAATTAACCCACAACCTTCGATGCTTGGATGACAAATCGTTTTCGTCACTGTCGGTTAATTTCGAGAGTGTTTTTGTGATCTTTTGTCTTTTCTCTTGTAGGTTGTTCAACCTTTCCACTGCGTGTCATTTTGCGCTAGTAAAAACACACGTGTGGGATTGTAACAGGCCTTCTTTAGCGTAGCTCTTCTGCTGACTGTGCAATTGAAATTATGGGAACTTTTTAAAACAATAATTATTTTCCACGCTAACCTCATAAAATCATTCATCTTCTTCCCTTCACAACCGAAGATTTCTTGCTTTAACTAACATCTCTACAGCACCTATAACCACGCACTGCTATTCCATTTCACTTTTAGTGTAAATGTCACCTACAAAGGGGTGGAGCTTAAGGGGGATGGCACACACACAATCATATACCAGGCAAGATATGGGACGGAGGGGTACCCCCCTTACCTGTCCAATCCCTATATACACTCAAGACTATTGTTACCTAACACATCCCCTCTAGAATTCTGTAAAGTATTCCTGAGATTCCGATCAAACAATGACCAACCAAAACGGGGGGGGGTCTCTCCGCCCTATATCTTGCTTCAAATGTTCAATAAGGGAAGGTCATATAGCTTTGATTTCGGTACAAGGTTGACTGTAAAGGGAGATGCCCCAGAGCATCTCATGTGTGTCTTCTGTTAACGCTAGCGATTTGGCAAACACTGCATTTACAACTGAGCACAATTTCCTCTGACATTTTCTCTCGACTATCTCAATGACTTCTGGTTGTCTTTTCACAGCCACTTCTCCCCCAACTCACCGTCAGCAGATGTAATTCCACCGAGACCCACAGAACAGCGCAGTATTAAATGATGCCGGCCATTCTCGACCGTTCAAACATACCCTTTCATTCCTCACCCACGCCACTTCCTCACTTCCCTGACTTCGTTTCTCTGCCATTCGCTGCGCACGTCTCTGGTGACTCCTTTTCTCGCTTCTCTTCCCTCTTGCAATGCACTTACACTTGCAATGACGATCTACTGCCACCTTCTGGCCAATCTTGGTTTATTTGTGTGAGACACGGAGCCGTATCAAAAGTAAACGGTTGGTCGAGGGGCCAATCACATTTATACAAATCGCGGTAAGGGTTCTCCTTTCACGACTCCATTTCAGAACATGTCACTCTTTGGGTCTGGTCTTTCCATCGCTCCGTTGGTTCTAAATTCGTCCCTTGAAACATTCGTGTTCACCGTGAATGACGAATTCTCCGACCATCGATATCATTCTCATTCAGTCGTCCCCTACTTCGATTCTCTTACCTTTCTCTGCATAATTTCAACATGAGCCAGACCTTTGCCGCCACAGCCTGTTTCTCGCTCATCACTTTTGGGGAGGGTATTCTCATTTCCTCCGTTGTTTCCTTCTCCGATCTCCCTCTTTTTTTGTAATCGGCAGCTCCTCTCTCGATCACCTGGGAAAATCTAACCTTCCACATTCTTATCTGTCATACTTATCATCGTATCAATTTTGCCCATCCAAGCCCTATTTTCACAATCGCAACACCTGTCTTCGACCATCGTCTGCCTCCTTTAATCCATACCTGTCCTCGATTTCACTTCCACCCTTCTATTTCTTTTCTGCCTTCCTTCATTCACACATCAACTCTCAACATTTCTCTCGCAGGCACGATTCTTTCAGGACATGTTACGAAAGGGATCTCTCCCCTATAAAATCGATCTACAACCACGCCCACTCTTTCAAAACAGCAACTCACTAGGCGAGCAGTCCAATTCTGACACATGCGCTCTCTAACCTTCTGTCTCCACTAAATACTTTCCATCAAATAAAAACCTTCCTTTCTTAATCTCCCAGTTGTACACCAATCAATTTCCATCGATGTCGTCAACAATCAAGACTTTTTTCTCGTTGCAAAAATCCTTTTTCCCTTCAACTTCTTTCAGTCTCATACCCTTAGATTACCGAACTCCTTAAGACTTTCAACTCTTCCACTCGTTTTCCTTTTAATATCTATGATAGTTTTTCTCTCAGTTTGCAAACTTATTTTCTACTGATTGTAAGGACTGCATCCATACAGAGTATTGGTAAATAACAAGGGGCAAAATCAAGGCAGATTAATGCTGCCATGGGTAAATATTATTTGATGGATCGCTACTGCCGGGGTGCATGGGAGGTACAGCGAATCTCTGCACCATCAGCTGTTGAGATTAACCGTCTGTGACCATGGGCCATATACGTGATTGTGATCAAGCAACTCGGCTTTAAAAAATGGCTGCCAGTGCTGCTGATAATGTGTACCTTATGAAACTGCGTTTAGCATTAATGTCCATTTCATTCCGACGGGCAAAGCTTAATTTAGTTTTTTTATTTCATAGGAAAAGGCGACAGTTTCTTGCAAATGGCCACTCCAAACATTCAGCGATAGGGTCAACTTGAGTGAAATCACGTGATATAGTCCTCCATGATCTCACGCTAAACTGACAGTTAGGGGGGCCTATACGAATGTATTTTCGACTACTGTACTACAACGTCGTTAATTTTCTCCATGGGACTATTCTGAAAGTATCTCTTTTTTTCCGGGATATATAAAAATCGATGTTGTGGGAGAAACCAGTATCTGAATATTATTTTTTTTAATTCTCGGATTTTAATCATGCACTCGGCTGTAAGCGTTCTCATTATACCCAGCAAGATATGGGACGGAGGGGTAACCCCCCCCCCGTTACATGCCCAGGCCTTATACACACTGTAGACTATTATTACCTAACAAATCCCCTTAGATGTCTGTGAAGAATTCCTGAGATTCCGATCAAACAATGACCAACGCAAAGGTGTGTGTGTGGGGGGGGTGCTTTCCGTCCCATATCTTGCTTCATATGTAGCTCTATATGTGTAGCTCAGCGTAAAAACGTTAACGTTACTTGAGAATACTTTTCATCCGATCTGGACAATGAGGCGTCTCGTTTGGAGAGTATTGTCTCTCGTGCACGGCAGTAGGTTGGTCACTTTAGAAAAGCAGGTGGGATTTTTTTTAATAAAGCCCCCCCCGAGTCTGGCAAACAACGAAAGGAGAGGAACCCTTTCAAGGATTCGTTTTGCACGGATGGGATTTCCGTATTTGCATTCCGCATAAAGCATCGAAGTCTGCCAAGTGGTATCCACGGTATTGATGGGGCGAGAGCCCATTGTTCGCATCGCGTCAACCTGGCATCAGACTGTTGATCATCGCGCCTACTGAACTGAGTTGTTTGGCTCCGCGAATACCCCTTGCAAAAGCCCCTTGTTACATTTTTTTTTCATTTCGACAGCCCACTGATAAATGGTATGGTTATTGATCCAAATGCAGCAAGGTATGAGACGGAG